ATAAAGGCAGCTTTATAAATGGTGGCCTTAAAATATTGGCTTGGATTCCCCAGCGCAACCGGTTACTCTCACGATTCCACTGAGAGAACAGGATAATTTCTCAAAGCAACCAAAAGGGGCAAATGAGAGATAAACTGAAAGACTGTGTGTATCTAAGTGAGGACAAGATTGCCTGAGAGGAAAGTTATTGTCTGCGAGAAGTGGGAGAGGCTGCCACTGTGCAGGGCTCAGGAATATTCAGCATGCTTTAGATATGGCATTTCCCCCTGGGAAAGATTTCCCTGGTTTGCTGGGAAGTGATGCTTCGTAGTACCCTTAACCCAGGCTTATTGACGGGGCTCGGATGGGTACAGATACAGAGAAGCGTCACTGCCTCTGGAACAATCAGTGGACGATGGCACTGGATGCAGGCCATGCATGCAGGCTGTTTCCTGGAATGGACACTGGGTGGTCTGTGGACCCTCACTGCGCTCTTGGCCCCTTGGAAATTTCAGGTCTAGCCTGGAACTTTAGGGAGAACTTTGCTTCCTTTCTAAAATTCTTCCAAATCTACATTATGAATCTTTTCTGTTCCTTAAGAAAGGGTGTAGGCATGGAAACACAAATGCCAGGAAGAGGCTTCTTTTTTATAGGTTAAAAATCTGACCATCTCAAATATTCTAAGGAGGTAGATGTGTGAGAGTTCACATACATTGCTGTCAGGGGTGTGAATTGGTAAAACGAGTTTGGAAGAGAGTTAGATTATTACCTAGAAATGTTGATCACAAACACACTTGAAAGTGTATAATCTGGAGAAGCTTTTACATGTGTGCACTGAAAGACACCTATGAGAATATTCATAGATGCATTGCTCCTAATAGCCACCACCTGACAATCATAAGTCTTTATTAAGAGAAGTGTGGATAATTAAATTGTGTTACACTCACACCAGCAGCAGTATCATGACTGAACCTCAAAAAGATAAAGCTGAATAGAAAAAAATAGTAACTATATTGTTCTATTTATAAAAAGTGAAAAAACATGCAAAAGCTAAATATTTTGCTTGCAGATACATTTATATGCTAAAAGAATTATTAACACAAAATTCAGCATAATGGTTCCCTCTAGGATCAGGGGTACATAATGAGTGTGGAGGAACTAAAAATATTCTATTTCTCGGGCTAGGGAGTAAGAAGAGAGGTAACAATTTTATTCTTTAGTTCCCACATTTTTCTTTACATGAAAAAAGATCTTGTGAATAAAGAGTCATTCTTAATTTTAAGAAAATTAATTTACATTAGACTTAAAGCACACATCCCACAAAGCTAATAGGAAATTCAGTCATTACAAGGGTTCTCCAATGTGAGAATTATAAAACTTTGCTTTTCCCTAACTTGAGGGTTAGGCAAAGATCCTGAGGTCCCACATGAGCCAGCACATCAGGGAGGCCCTACTGGTCATCAGCCACTGCCCACACTGGTCCACCAACCCAGGTTGCAGGTTCCTTTATGTCCAGCAGGCCCTGGTATATCCACCCCACACTTGGAATGGAGGGATCTTTGGGCACAAGGGAGCAGGAGAGAAGCTGGAGGTCCATGGGCCTAGAATTCAGCCTCCTCAGCACATCACACAGCTAACCCTTCTGAGACCTTTCCATTTCCCCATGTAATTTAGCCTCTATTTCCAAGCTGTGGTTCTTTCATTTCTGTGTGGGTTTTTATGCCAGTGTCATTACTTATTAGAGCTTTGAAATACATATTAACTTTAAAAAGCTTTAAAAATTTTTCAATTACAGTTGACATACAGTATTATATTAGTTTTAAGTGTACAACATACTGATTAGACATGACTTACGGAGTGATCCCCCTGGTAAGTCTAGTACCCCTGTAACACCATACATAGTTATTACAATATTATTGACTATATTCCCTATGCTGTACTTTGCACCCCTGTGACTGTTTTTATAACTCCCAATTTGTGCTTCTTAACCCCTTCCTCCTTTTCACCCATCCTCCTAACACCCCTCCCACCTGGCAACCATCAACATGTTCTCTGTATCTGAATTTGTTTCTGTTCTATTCATTAGATTCCACGTATTACTGAAGTCATGGCATTTGCCTTTCTCTGATTTCGTTTAGCATAATATCCCCTAGGTCTATCCATGTTGTCACAAGTGGTAAGAGGTCACTCTTTTTTTATGGCTGAGCATTGTGTATATGTATCACACCTTTATCCATTTGTTTATCGATGGACACCTAGGTTGCTTCCATATCTTGATTATTGTAAATAATGCTGCAGTAAACATAAGGGTTCATATGTTTTTTCAAATTAGTGTTTTGGGTTCTTCAGGTAAATACCTGGAAGTGGAATTGCTGGGTTCTTCTTTGTCTCTGTTATACCCTTTGTTTTAAAGTTGTTTTTGTCTAAAAGAAGTATTGCTACCCCAGCATTTTTTTCATTTCCATTTGTATGAAATACCTCTTTCCATCCCTTTACTTTCAGTCTCTGTGTGTCTTTTTATCTGAAGTGGGTCTCTTGTAGGCAGCATATGTAAGGGTCTTGTTTTCCTATCCATTCAGCCACCCTTTGTCTTTTGATTGGAGCATTTAATCCATTTGCTTTTAAAGTAATTATTGATAGGTACATAATTATTTCATTTCATTTCATTTTTCATATCTTTCATCTTCTAAAGAAGTCCTTTTGTATTCTTATAATACTTGTCTAGTGTTGACGAACTCCTTTAGCTTTTTCTTGTCTGGGAAGCTCTTTATCTTTCCTTTGATTATAAAAAGGTTTGTTAGGTAGAGTCATCTTGGTTGTAGGGCCTTGCTTTTCATCACTTTGAGTATTTCTTGCCACTCCCCTCCGGCCTGCAAAGTTTCCCTTGAGAAATCAGCTGATAGTCTTTTGGGAGCTCCCTTGTAGGTAACTAATTGCTTTGTTCTTGCTGCTTTTAAGATTCTCTCCTTTTCTTTAACCTTTGGCAATTTCATTATCATGTGTCTGGGTGTGGGCCTCTTTGGGTTCAGCTTGTTTGGGACTCTGAGCTTCCTGGACTTGTCTGTCTGTTTCCTTCACCAGGTAAGGGAGGTTTTTAGTCCTTATTTTTTCAAACTGGTTTTCAATCTCTTTCCTGCTTCTGGTACCCCTGTGATGCGAATGTTGTTATGATTGATGTTGTCCCAGAGGCCCCTTAAACTGTCCTCATTTAAATTGTTTTCCTTTTTTCTGTTTTGATTGGGTGTTTTTTACCACTTTATCTCCTCCTCCTCTTTCTTCTTCTTCTTTTTTTTGTTTTTTTGTTAATCTTCACCCAAGGATATTTTTCATTGATTTTTAGAGAGAGTGGAAGAGAGGGAAAGAGAGGGAGAGAGAAACATTGATGTGAGAGAGACACATTAATTGGTTGCCTCCCACACGTGTCCGGGAATTGAACCTGTAACCCAGGTTTGTGCCCTTGGCTGGGAATTGAACCAGCAACCCTTCGGTGCATGGGCCGATGCTCTAATCAGCGAGCCACACCAGCCAGGGCCCCTCTAATGTATTCTTCATTTCAGTTATTGTATTATTCATTTCCGACTGGCTCTTTTTTATGTTTTCTATCTCCATTTTTATGTTTTCTATCTCTTTGTTAAATCTTTCTTAGATAATCTTTTCTTCCCCTAAGTTCACTGTGCATCTTTATAACCAGTGTTTTGAATTCTGCATCTGGTAGATTGCTTGTCCTCATTTTGTTGAATTATTTTTCTGAAGTTTTGTTCTCTTCTTTCATTTGGGACATGTTTCTTTGCTTTCTCATTTTGGCCAACTCCCTGTGTTTGTTTCTATGTATTAGGTAGATCTGCTATCTATTTTGATCTTGGTAGAGAGGCCTTATGTAGTAGGTGTCCTGTGGGGCCCTGTGATGCAGTCTCCTTGTTCACTTGAGCCAGGTACTCCAGAGGTATCCCTTGTGTGGGTTGTGTGTGCCCTTCTGTTGTAGTTGAGCCTTGATTGCTGTTGATACATCAGTGTGTGGGACTGACCCTCAGGCTGATTGGCAAAGAGGGATGGCTATGACTATAGTGAAGGAGCTATTGTGCAGGGGCTGACCCTTTGGAGCTGGATTCACATTAGCAGGGCTCTGATGCTTGCTGAGTGTGCTTTTGGGGTGTGTTGTTTGTGGATGTGGTTGGGTGGTACTCTGGTGTGATCTGAAGCTAGCCACTGGGTGTGTTTGTTTTGGGGAAGATACTCCCTTTAAAAAATCTGGTTTTGGTTATAACTTTACTGAGGTAAGAGAACAGAACAGCCTAGTTGCTTAAATGAGAAGAGAAAAATGGGGGAAATAATGGGAAAAACATTGGTTTCATTGAAAAGAAATGTTATCATATCAATTCTGTACATTTTTGAGAAAAAAGTCCCAGGTGCCCTAGGGAGATGACTTCTGTGTCAGTCAGACTACCAGGCACTGTGCCCCCAGCATGGGTGACCTGCATTCATTCCAC